AGCCAATCTTTAGTTCATTTTATTGGTAGCCAATCGTTGGAGATGTTGTTGGGGACTAGTAAATTGTGTTGTTTTTCTTATTGGTACCAAAAACTTAAATAGACAGAGAAATGACATTCATTTTCCGATATGGTCATCTTCCATTCATAGTTCCTTTTTTGTTTTTTTTTGAAGAATTCCTATCCAAGTTAATGAATTATACACAACATTCTTGAATTGCTATACTAGCATATTTTGATTAGAACACAATTAATCCAAGATACATGATGCTTTGAGACAAATGGTTTGCACGAAAGAAGCTAAATTCTTTCTTTCATTTTTGTTGATAAATTTCATATGTAAATGTAGTAGAAATCTTTGATATAAATAAATAAATTAAAGAGGAACAAAGAAACCAAAAAGAATGGGGTGAGAGAGGCTCGAACTCTCGACCTCAGGATAACTCAGAAGCTATGAGACCTACGCGCTAGCCAACTGCGCCACCACCCCATGTGCAATTGCATCCCATTATATGATAGAAATACATGTATACTTCTGCCTTGCAGAAACCTTCTCAATATTCAACTTTTTTCCCCTTCTTCCCTTTCCATCAATTAGAAATTTCTAGGTAATGATATAACATAAAGAAAAATTCATTTATGATTAGCTTGGAAAAAACTCATTTATAATCTATTTGTGATATAAACAAGCTTAAACACATTGTTAAGCTTGTTGAGCTCTATCAAACGCTAATCAACACTATTATCTTCATTTCTTCCTTATTTGGGGCTCGCCTTGGCCTAAGACCAGTAAAATCTGTGCCTTGGGCTTCAAAATTTTGGCTCAAAAATAAGGCTCCTAATTTAGTAAAATGTTCTAGGCCCAATATTTTTATTTTTATTTTGGTTTTAGGATCAGTTTAAAGGGCCTCAAAATATTTTATTTGGTTCATATATGGTTTTGCCCATATTATTATAATGTATTTGACCCATATTTATTAAATGAAAATATGTATTTAAAAAAAAGTGTTTGGGCCCAAGAAGAACAATACATATAATATATGACCCTATTTTTTTTTTTTTTACCTTCTTTACCTATTAGATTTTAGTGGAATAAATAATTTTACCCTAA